ACCAAATATGGGTGAAATCGGTTCACAACCACGCCTGAAATCTCGATTATCACTTTATCATGCGAGAGTATAAAATGTTCGGTGACACCTGAACTTAGCCCTTCCTTACTTGTTTTTTAATTGTGTTTAAAAAATATTTTTAATTTATGAAAACAATGAATAAACCAGAGCCCTCTCCAGTCTCTCTCAAGGTATTATTATAACAAACAAATTATCATACAATTTCAAGTTTGCAATAATTCAACCTCTTGTAGCGTCAAAGATCGATAAAAGCGAGCAACTTTATTTCCGGCAACATTATTATGCGCAATCTGAGGCGCTTTGAGCCGTTAGCTTGGATGGCAACAATAGCACAATAAACAAATACCTTGTCTGAGTATTTGCTTGCCTGTAGCAACAACAACAATAGCAATTGCTCAAGCGAATCGTGTTTGACGGAAGATAGATAGATACTCCTTTGAAGCTACTGTTTGAAAGGAACAATGTAAATCGCAATGCAACGCCGCGACAATTTTAAGACTTAAGAAGTGATTTTTGTATTATTTTTTTTCTCTCATGACTTTGCTTATTGTTGGTGTAAATGTACGTTTATTAATGATAGCTTGTTAAAAAAATCTCATCATGGAAGATATTCCACTGCAGTGTAAGCTGCGAACATCGCTTTCAAAATGAAGTTAGCATAAGAAGCGTATATGACTTGGGTCTTGTATAAAAAGCGTTAAAGTTATTGTGTCAGGTATATTTACTGCTGTTGAATTGGAATAAGTGATTCGGTTGGTCCAGCGGTGAACAGTCACTTTAGATGAGTATTGTCACTTCGAATTAACAAAATATATCTACATTGGAATCACTGTGTAAAAAGTGAACACAATTTTCTATAAAGTGTGCATTATTTTTTTCAAAAAACAGAGAGCTTTTGCTCCCTATCGTAATGAAATTCCACACATTGCTTAAACTTAAATAAATACTCACATATATATACGTGCATTATTTTAAGCAGTGAATTAACTTAATTACTTTGCATATTTCGCAAATTGTACCGTTTAACTATAGCAAAATTGTTTGGCAGCACGCTCAGATGCCCAGGCATGATAATTGAAGTATTGAATGGTTTGCACAAGCATTAATATTTCTTGCGATATGTAAATCCACTAATTGAATGTGCCTTTTAACAGTAAAACCACGCCGTCAGCTTGCGATATTCTTGTTAATAAGAGGCGTACAAAAGCAAAAGTAATTATAAGTGTAAGTGAGGTAAAAAGTATAAACAATAAGAAGTAAAAATTTGGCAAACTCGTTCATTACTAAGTAAGTGAAGTAAGTAAGTGCTTAGTGCTAGTGTTAATGGTGATAGAGCTTTCGATGAAACACATTGATTTTATATTGTGTTAATTTTTTTTTTTTTTTTTGTTTTATACTTTAGATAGATAGTTCAACTGCAATCATTTTCAGCTTTAGTTAAAACATATTGAAACGTTGAAAATTAATTTGAGAAGTGAAAAAGCTGACTACTTTATGTCATGAACTCTCCCTGAATTGAACTGATTCTTGTCGCTGAACACTTCACACGCCCGCAGCGTAGTCGGCGAGTTACGTGCACGTACACATTACTAGGAGTATGAATGCAGTGCATTACGTGAGCTCATACACCGGCGTACTTGAACTACTTCTGGTATTTAAACATATACCCAGTTACGTATATATGCATATGTCATTAGCTATATACCACCAACTAGTTTTGTGTGTTTGAATTCTTGCCAAGGCCATCATCGCGCGCTGATACATTCCGACGTTTGACAATTCGGTTTTCTCTGTGCTTTCGTTGTGGTTGTTTGCGTTCCGTTAATTGCGAAAGCAAATAAATTATGTATTAAAACAATTAAGAAACGCTTGTTTGATTACGCGTTGTGCCGGTGGCAATTATCTGGGCACCCAGGCGTATGAGTATTATTGTATTTCTGGCACGCGAACTTTGTATTCTATTTCATACAACAGTTAAATGTGGCTGTTAGCCAACAACAACTGACTGCAGAAGTTCATGAACAGTTAATTATATGTGCTTCTTCCACATAAGTGTACACACTAAATGAGCTTAACGCTTTTATTGCTTTGGTGAGCACTGAAACTTCGATAAAAATTTTATAGTTACTGGTTAAAAGCGCTTTGCTCACCATTTTCTGTCGCATTCGCGCATTCATAAAGATATTATTATTACATGCGTAATAGTACGCCTACAAAAACAACACACACAAAACGAAAACAACTAGTTCTGCTCTTTTAATTTTGTCATTGGCATACCTGTTAACAAGTCTATTTGCAATCAAATGTTCACCTAACTGAATTAATTTAATACCCTTAAAACAAAAAAAAAAAGCCGATTGCATCGCAGTTATAACACCACTGCATTTGTTATTAGTGTTTTCAGTGAAATAACTAGATTTGGATCTGTATGCTATAGAGGTCCGATATTGGCAATTGCGACAAATGAGCAACTTCTTGAGGAACAGGTGGCTGAGGCACGATATTGGTAAAAACTCCGGAATAATCAGTGCAGTATTTTACGGTGCATTATTGTGGTGCAAAAATCAAGTCAAAAATCAGTTGTATTTACGAATAGTTTTGAGCAAACGACACATAACCCCCAAATAGTATTCGTTGCTGACAGTTTGGCCGGTCAGAAGGAATTCGGAGTGCACCACAAATCGATAATCGAAGAAAACTGTCAACGTAACCTTGATTCTGACTTCCTTTGATGTTGTTTTTTCAGCTTTGGCTCACTTTTGCTTCGATATTCGAATTCTCAGTCGTAAGCATAGATCCAAGATCCATTGCCAGTAATAATATGTTACACAACATCCCGGTAATCGGAAAACATTTTTTCACAAACGTTAGCGTGACACCGTTTTTAAAAAATCAAGTGATTTTGGTTTCCACTATTCGTCGATTTTCAAGCACCAATTCCTTTATTTTATTGACGGGTTGATGATAAGTTGATATTGATGGCCGTTTTGGACGTTGTTCGTTGTTAACATGTTATCGATCCTCTTCGACTAATTATGGGGTCTCCGACTTTTTCTTCTGAGTATTATAAACTTCATGACGTTGATAAGGGTATGAAAAGTAGTGAATAATATTAAAACTCACGGCACGAATATGCAATAACGTAATATTCACTGTAAATTCCTAAATTGTTGCATTAGAAACCCCTTACATTTACAATGTCACAAAGAGCGAAGCCAAGAGAATTACTATAAAAAAATAGAAGAAATTATGTTTATTATATTATCAATTTGAAAACGGGTATAATCAAGTATAATTTGAAGTTGGATTGTACGTCACACACCATACCGAGGCGATCCCTTCAAAACTCATTATTAGAACAAAAAATAAAAAATAAAATAATAATAATATAATAAATATGTTTATTTATATGTATATATTTAAATTTTTTTTTATGTACCATGTACCCATAGTTGTATAGTTTGCTTGTGTTGTTTACAGTTCTTGTTTAAAAATTACTGAAAACTCAATATATACCATCTCTTATTTTGTGTATCTGGAAATTCATTTGTAAATGAATGATTGAATAACAAAAAAATAAATAATTTACTCCCAACTGAATTACGTTTGATGATTATTTCTATTTAAATACTTTTATTATTTACTTATAAATAAGCCTTTTCCACTTATACATCAACTTGATAGAGATATTTAAAAATATAACTTAATAAATTTCTAAGACAATTGCAAATATTTTGCATCCCACAAAAATTGTAAAGCGAAATTAAAATCGTAAACTATTTTCAACGCAAGTGTTCAATATTTAAGCATAAAATAAGTAAAAAATTTGCAACATTTGTTTTAACAAATTGGCATCGCTTCGGTAAGAAGTATATAGGCTCAGCGGATTGGCAGGCAGAGGAGAAGTACTAAACTGTGTTCGTGCGAAAATGAATGATTAATAGCTCATATTGTGGTATAGGCATTTTCTGTTAACAACACTTCAGCAGCTGCCAAATTTATTTTAATTGCTTTTATATTAATCGTTTATAATTTTCTTGGAAACGTTATGCCTTTTACTACGATATTTAAATTCGCTTTTGTTATCATCTTATGTTACAGATAGCTTCCGTACTTGTTATCTTCATGAGTTTGGCTCTGGTCATGGGCCAACGGTTCTTCCCTATACCGACAAACTTCAACTTTAACTCAGGCGGTCTGTCGTCTCCAAATGCAATTCGGGATGGACGCACTAACCGAGGTGAGTGCGATGAAAATATATGAGAATATATATATAATATATATGTATATCTAAAGAAGAGGGTAATTTCTCTTTCATTTAATGTTGTTTGAATTTAACTATAAGCAAAGCGATATTTTGGACGGTAAGGCTAAGATTTAACAAATTATCAGATGTTCAGGATTCAAACAATTATTAATTCTCATTTTATATATGCATTTAGAAAATATATAGAATTATCTAAAATAAATTAAAAAAATTAAATTTAGTTTAAAATAAAAAATATGTGAATTTTTTGATTTTAAACATTGGTTGAATACATGCGCTTACATGGGCTTCCTCGATCACAAATAATAAAATATTTTATTGAAACTTTTTATTATTTCAAAAATACATATTTAACGCAGATTTTGTGAAATTTTCAAATTACGGTGTCATTTCGGGCTGTCCGTCAGAAAAAAGGTCCCTCCGCGGAAATTCTAGTCTTGTAAGAAGAGAAAAATGTAAAAAAAGAAAAATATAAGTTTTTTAATAAGGATCATAAACTTCATAGAAATTGGAAGAACAAAACAGCGAAAATTGCATTTTTGACAGAAGTTTTTACAAATACAGATTTTGGTGAATATTTCTCGATGTTCTTTTTAAAAAGCTGTGGTTGAAGAAACAAAAATTCTTCTCTTAAGACCTTGTGCATTAAGTTTCGCAGACCTGTGTTTAATTTCATTAAGAACAGTTGAAGAGTTCGAAATTTGGACACATACAAAAACAGGTTACAGAAAAATTATTTAAAATTTTAAGTGGCTAAGTAACTAAACTTGAGGGCAAAAATTTTCAGAGAGGTGTTTTTAAAACTGTTACTCAGATCAACTTGAGCACTTAGGACAAATTTCTTGATTTGTATAGAATTTAATAAGACGATTAAAAATATATTTTTTAGTATTTATATTTACTGCGTTTTCCAATTTTTATACCCTGAAGTTTGTAACACCCAGAAGGAAACTTCGGAGACATAAATATGTATGTATACATGTGTGTCTCGTCTGACTGTGCGTCCGTTGACTAATTGGAAAACTTTTTAATTTAATGTGGTATCTTCAAAAAATTTGCCATGAGTTCTTAACTAAACCAACAATTTAATCTCCGAATAAGTCCCTTGAGGGAAGTATTTCTGTAGTCCTTGTATTTGTGAAGGATATTATAGCTTCGATGTAACTGAAGTAACCGTGTTTAAATTTATATGAATAATTAATTAAACTAATTATAATTACTTTTAATATTTTTACTTTAACGAATTTTTCTGTTTATTTCTATTTTTAATAGGTCCCGTGCTGTTCCCACAATCACCACCAAATCCACTTGATGAGAGCAGCGGCGTGATAGTTGGTGCTTCCGGTTATGGCTTCGTGCCACCCCAACAACAAAGTAAACTCTAATATGCAATTGATACCAAATATAAACATAGTTATGCCTAAACTCACAAACACCTCATATCCTCTCAGCAACTCTTTGCAAAATTTTCCGCCTCCTCAACCAAAAAAGCTCAAAAAGCAAACACAAACGCAGAAACATATTAGTTTTCTGGCAATTTCAAAGACAATTTAAGTAGAAAAGAATTGCGAACACTGAAAGGTCACAGAAAACAAAAGCTTTATTATTTTAAATACAAATATCTAATTTTGTTCAACCTTTATGAATAAGCATTCTTAGCGCGTTGAATCTATTTGAGGAATGAACAGTTACAAATATTATAGTATATGTATGTGCACTTACATAAGTATTTATTAATTAATTATCGCGACTTAGTCAATTTAATCAATATTTCACACGCATTGTTGTTGTTGTTTTCTAACAGGGTTCGTACGCGGCTAAGCACAAATTACACACGGTTCTCAAAAGCCATTGCAAAAGTCAACACAGTCCACATTTTGAACACATCAAACACACACAAGCACATGCAAATGGATTAGGCGAATGCAATACGCAAATACATAATATATTAATTTAATGTCATATAAGCTTTAATCACACACTTTTTCTGCATTTCGAAATATATACAAATACACGATGCTTTTGATCGCTTTGCTTGTATGCTCGCAATTTTATTGTTAAGTAAATTAATACTGTACTGATTAATTGCACCATTGCAACAATAACAAATACAAAATGCACAGCACGGCGGGCGTAGAATGTCAACAACAATTTCAAACAGCATTCATCGATAATAGAGAAATAAGTAAAGTGCTTTGGAAACGGAAGCGGAAATGCTAGCGTCTATATATACTTCTTACACAAACAATTAAACTACAAATTCACCAGTCACTTAGTAAATAGCGCACAATCAACTACTAAACATTCGCCATTTAGAATACAAAAATTTCTTCTTTATATATTATCTTTTTTTATAATAGAGTATAATTTCTTAAGTTTTTGTTGTTTATTTATGTAATTATTCAAAATTGTTATGAAAAAAACTTTTTAAATGAATAAAAATCATATTGAAACTAATTCGGAGTCAATAATTCTTACTTATTTAGTTTTAAGACCAAAACCTTTTTTTAATTTTGACATTCAGGACAAGTTTTAATTTAAACATTGCACTTGGCACCCCTATCAGATTTAATTTAATTTATTTTTTTACACACATTTTAAGTTTTAGTTCTTATATCACCATTTTTTTACTTCTTTGGTTTTTAATTTGTTTAAATTTTTATTTAATT